TCTTCAACCTGCTCATGGTGTCCCCTCCTAGCCTGCCTGCCAGTCCACCATAAGGTCACGCCAAGCCACAGGCAGGCACAGAGCCTTCAGCATCGCTGGAGACGAAACACTCCCCGCCTGCGCTACCCGATTAGGCGTTCGTTAGCGAGCGGAGCCGCTGAGAAGCAAAGCCCGGCTCTGCCAGGCCATCATGCTCAGAAAACTCTCCTGTCCCATCTCCAGCCCGCCCCAGAGCAAGGCTACGGTGCCAAGTCCAGCCAGGGAGAGGGCTGAGCCCCCAGCGCCTACGTCACGGGGCATTTTTCCATGGCGTTTATTTCACGCTCATCGGAGTCACACAGTGCCAAGTCGAACGCAGTTCCACATTACAGCGATTTATAGGTCTCTAGACTTTTTTAGGGTAAGATCAGCCCCTGTGATTATTCAAAAAATACAACTGTTTCCTCATTCTGTTACATCACTGATCTTTACACCATGGAGCTGCTCTGCATTAATGAAAATTGCCGCTGTTTACATCAGTCTCTGCTAGCTGCGGGTCCACTTGCAGTCATTTTGTCTGTTCACTGAAACACAAAGTCTGTGCATTGGCCCAGTTTTTATCTGTTTATTCCTCTACAGCCTGAAGTTTGCCCTCCATCTTTGAATGCAGCAATCAGAGTTTCTTTTCTGCCTTGTTTACCAACGGGATCCCATACACTTCTTGCTAAGGGTCTCTGTGAAATGCGGGTGCAATGGGAAAGCCAGCTGAAACCCACGGGATAAAATCACCGCAAGCAAGCACCCGAAGCCAGAACGTCCCCAAACGCTCGGTGGGTACCAAACACCGCAACGGCAAATCACACGCGGCTCGCTAAACTTCTGCTAAGCTATTTTTCACGGTAATCAAAAAAAGATGAAGAAGGAGAAAAGAGCACCACTCGCGGCCAAAACCACAGGCTATGGAAAAAATCCAGCTTTTTTTTGGAAAGCTGCGGGATTCTGGAGGCAAAACCAGCCCACCGGCCCCCAGCTGTTCCGACGTCAGATCAGGACCAGCCGCTGCTTAAAAGAAAACCTAACTTCTTCCCCTAAACCTAAATTCCTAAGCCAGGAAGGAATGCTGACAAGCCCCACTTGGTGATGAGGGCTCTCGCCCCAAACCACCGACCGAGCCCCGCGCTGCCGGGCAAACGGCTTTTCCCCTCCTGCCTCTGGGTGCTGGGTGCGGGGAGCCGGGGAGGGATGGGGTTGGGGGTCGGGGGGGGAGGCATCTGATTTTTTTTTTCACTCACCTTTCATCCCACTCCCTTCCTCCTGGAATGTGTTACGAGCGGAAGGCTGATCTTCTAAATGTTCACTCCCACCACTTCCCGAAGAGGCTACACTGCTTTGTGGAGACAGGGGGGCATGATCGGAAGGGATGCACTGGGGTCCTCTAGCTCGTAAGTCCTCATGAGACATCCATCCATGTCCTAGGGGTTGGTTTGGCACATTCATGGGTGGGGTAAGGGACACAGAGCGTTTCAAAGGGCTGTGGTGTGTCTGGCCTGAGAGAGCTGGAGAAAAAAACAAAAAAACAAAACAAAAAACAAAAAAAAACAAAAAAAAAAATCAAATCAAAG